CAGCTGCAGCTTCTGTGAGGTTTTTGTACGAGTGTGTTTCACTGTGTGAACATCGGCGTGCTGTGGTAACTCTGACAGTAATAAACTCCTGCATCGTCAGCCTGAGCTGCACTGATGCTCAGAGTGAAGTCCAGGCCATTCCCTGCTCCACTTCCACTCAGTCTGGAGGAGATTCCTGAAAGTCTGTCTGATGTTAAGTAGATCAGAGCTTTGGGAGCTTCTCCAGTTTTCTGATGGTACCAGGCCAGGAAGTATCGTGAACCAGAATACTGAGCTACTTGTGTACTGACTTTACAGTTGATGTTTACAGTCTGACCAAGCTGCACAGATCTGGATGCTGACTGAGTCACCACAACGTTTTGTCCAGCAGACCCTGAGGAGAGAAGAAACTCTGGGCATGAGATGCTGAGGTGAAACTCAGCTACACTCTGAATGATTTTCACGTGACAGAAAAATGATTTTCCTCACCTTGACTCAAGCAGAGGAGAGTCCAGATGAGGACACAGAGCACACTCATGTTTTTGATGAAGAGGACTTGTGTGGCGTCTGTTGTGATGAAGGACAGCTGTCAGTCATGCAGTGTTCAACTGTCAGGACTATAAACTCTCCCAGAGCACTGGAGCATGGTGCCGCTGATGCAAAGCAGCTCCCTGTGGACATGCTCAGACTGACTCCAAGGCGGACGCGATAACTCTCATGGATTTATCAGGATTCATCTGGAGTGTTTTCTGCATTTTGCATCTCTTAAATTTCTTTAAGTATTTTCTTTGGTTTTTACATAGTGAAAGTAGATAATCTGTCATAAGTACTGTAATAACAGAACATCCTTTTGCTGTGAGCTGAACTCAGTCACATCAAATTTTTGTTCAGCTCTTTTACTGAACCTGTCCTCACATGTTCCATTTTTAAACAGGAACAATTTGAAGGATTAAAGAAAATGTATCTTTAAACCTGCTGCAGAATTAAAAGGACTCAGGACAGTGTGACTGGAGATCATTTCTTAGTGTTTCTGACACATCTGTGGATTTTAAAAATGTCCCACTTAGTCTTTGACCTCAGTTTGAAACTGTCTGAGAATATTTATCTTAAATCTGGCTGATGTTGAAATATTCTGACTGGTTCGGTTTAGCAGATAACGTCTTTATCAGTGAAATGATCAGCTGGTGATAGTTTAACAGTAATTATGATTGTAGAAATGCACCAAATGAAATGATTCAAATGATGAATGTAAATAACTGAATATTTGTTCAGTCTGTTATATTTTGTATTAAACACTAAAACCATGCAGATAATTAGAAGTTGATGTTGAAGATAATTACTGAGATGTTGTGTAACAGTTTGGCCCCAGTGCAGGTTGTTGAGCTTCGGGTCATATGAGGACTGTGAGTGCGCTGATGTGCATGAGAGCTTTGCTAAAGGGAAGTGAAACAATGTGTGAGTGAGTGACTGGTGGAGCAGAAAAACATCTGTCAGAAAGTCCTTAAAGGAGAAGATCCACTCTCACACAGTGAAGGCGTTACTGCCAGCTGTGCCGTGTGCTCCCTGTCCTCTAAGCTGATTGGTGTCTCCTAGGTGACGCTCGTCCCACCCTGACGGTGCTGCCCCCCTCCAGAGAGGAGCTGCAGCAGGGGAAGGCCACGCTCATGTGCCTGGCCAACAAGGGCTTCCCCTCAGACTGGAGTCTGTCCTGGAAGGTGGACGGCAGCGGCAGCATCAGCTGGGAGGAGGGCAGGAGCCCAGGGGTGCTGCAGGAGGACGGCCTCTACAGCTGGAGCAGCACCCTGAGGCTCCCTGCAGACCAGTGGGAGAAGGTGGGCTCTGTGACCTGTGAGGCCACCCAGGGCTCCCACACTCCTCTCTCACAGACACTGAGGAGAGACCAGTGTTCCCAGTCCTGAGCTGACTCGCTGGTTTTCCTCTGCAGGTCTCTCTCTTTCTGTCACTCGTCTTTGTTTTGTTCATCATTTCACTGTTTGACACAATAAAGATTCATTCAAAGAAACTCTCGTTCCAACTCTGCTCTTTTTAACTGAGCTTAAATTTAAATTTTTTAGTTCACCGTTATTCATACAGGTAGTCCCGCCTGTACAGCATCAGAGTCTGAATGGGAAATGTTTCAGAAAAACATATTAAAGTTACAACAATAAAAGAAACACCAAAGTACCTCAAACTGTTTAATATTTAAGAAGTTTCCAGTGTTCAATTACACATTGTTGTCAATTCTTAATGATAATAAATGAATGATAATAAAGGCTGATAGGTGGTGCAGAGTTCAGAAACACACATGTGATTGTACTGGTGTTCATTTGACTGTAACACACTATTATAATATTTAATGAGAATTAACAGATGCTCAGAAACGAGTGAGGGGAGTCATTCTGTGGTACGATCCTGTAATAGTAGATGTCACTGGATGTATAACAGCACGTGGATAAAACGTGCTTCCATCATTAAACAACATCTTTAATTTCCTATATAAAAGTCTACAATGTAAACAATAAAAAACATCCATACTTAATGTTTTAGTGTTTGTGTTATTAAAATGATCATCAACAGAATTTTTCAAAACTGACTTAGAAAGTTCAGTTTTTGTTAAGCTGAAATGTGTTAGTATAACCTGATGAGCTGCACGGTGTTTGTTTCCTTCACAGCTAAGTTAGTCTTTAGTCTGAGTGCAGCTGTTGAGACAGTTCCTCTAAAGCTGAGGGAGGTTTTTGTACGGCGCTGTATCGCTGTGTGAACAAGTTGTTACTCTGCTGACAGTAATAAACTCCTGAATCTTCAGCCTGGACTCCTCTGATGCTCAGAGTGAAGTCAGTACCAGATCCACTTCCACTGAAACGATCTGAAACTCCAGACTGACGATTTGTAGCTAGATAAATCGGGAGTTTAGGAGCTCCTCCAGGTTTCTGAAAGTACCAGTGGAGGTAGTTACTAACACCTGTACTGGTTCTACATGTGATGGAGACAGTCTGCCCTGCAACCACAGACTGAGCTCCAGGAGACTGAGTCACAATGATTTGTCCTGATGAACCTGGAAAAGATGGAAAAGAGGAGAAGGGTTACTGAGACAAATCCAGCGTGGAGAAAGATGATCAGCATCCAAACAGAAGATGGAGAGCAGATGGAAGAAGGTCACTGCTGCTCGTTTCAGTGTTCACGCTGAAGCCAAGCGCTCACAGAGAGTCTCACCCTGAACAAGGAGCCCCAGGGTGGCCAGCAGTAGAGTCAGTGACATCATCATTGTGCTGCCGGCGTGTCAGTGTCTCTGAAAAGCCTGGACACACACTGATCAACACTGGCCTCTTAAGGGCTGCAGAGAGGCAGGACACATATGCAAACACAGAGTCAGTCAGCTGGAGCCGTCCTCAGCACATCACCACCTCACTCGTGGCTCGACTCGCTGCACGCTCGTTTATATAAAGTCCACAGTCTTCTCAGGATCGTCTACAAATCAAATGTATTTAATATAATGAATGTAAAGTTTGTTTTAATACTTCAACCCATCTGAGGGAAATCTGTTTCAGAAATGTTACTTAAGTAACCAGGAGTTATCCTGACAGAAACAGAATAAGTTCATAAAGTAAAATAAATCCTACTGTACCAAGCTGAGGTCAGGCCGCTGGGCTTTACTGACGCTCAGGTGAAACAACAACAGTTCAAACATCACCTTTCATTTGCTTTAATTAGGAACTCTCATTAGTTGGAAGCATTAAACATGTGTCTCTACAGAGACGCCAGCAACGTTTCTTTTTCCTGTTTAGTTCATGGCCACAATGAAGGATGGAAACTGCTCACAGCTGCGTCTTTGTCTCGTCACTGCTGTTTAATCAGGTGGAAACTTTCAACTTCATGAACATGAAGCCCCACAGGCCCACAGCCTGTTTTCACTTCCCTCTGTTAGAGTTCACGGGAGACTCAGAGCACACATCCAGACTGAAACACGCTGAGTTAATTCTTTCTCCTTAATCGAACTCTCCATTTTTAATGTCACCATTTGTTTTTTTAACCCACCATCTTCATTCATCTGAACTTTAACTCATCTACACTTTGTAGAGGTAGAGCAGCGGTGGCAGTTTGCCCAGGTGAACTGCTGTTTCAGAATAGGGCTTTGGAGTTGGCGTCACGCCGCAGTGCATTGTGGGAGCGCGGCACCTTTTTAGCAGGCTACGAATCAAAACAAACACACTGTGTTAGAAGGAAGATTGCGACCAACCACACTTAAAAGCAGCTCAAAAGGCAAAGGACGTTATAGAGACCGGATGCAAAGAGACGGTACTTGCCGTCATTCAA